TTGACACTGTCTTTTGAAAAATCGGGTGTGTCCACCCCTTTTCTTTCGCTTAATGGCTGGTTACACAGCTTATCAGTGAGACATGGCGTGGTAGGTGTTGAACTAGCAGCACGGCAATCGACAACGTGAGGGGGAGTGCTGGCTACTTTGTTTGCCGTTTTATCTTTGTTTCCTTGTTGCCCTCGTTTGGCGAGTGTAGATGGTCGTAGACTGGACGACATTGTTAGAACTGAGCACAGCGTTCCGCTTCACTAGCCACGGACCCTCCAACTGCCCGGTTTGGCTGTCTTTTGTCTAATTAATCGGCATGCTAGTTACACGCCTGGGTGAACAGCTTCAGTCGAAAACTGGTACAGTTAATAGTGAATGTTGTTACCTTGTAATTCCATGAAAGAAATCACAATTAAAATATCACAGTGGTACATGTTCAAATATTATTGAATCCATAGCATATCCAAGCGAAATATCAATAAAGTGAAACATAAAACATCATGATTAGGCTATTACATCCTTGGAAAACAACTGAAAATGTAGGAGATGCTAAAACACGTCTACACGTGGCCAGCCTTAGAAGAAGTAGATGAGGAACCAGCAGTCTGCATACAAATAAGTGAGACCCGTAAAACAACTGTGCATGCAAAACTCAGGCTCTAGAACAAGGCCAAAGTTAAGAAGTGGACAACAACTAGCACTTTCGGTCAGAGTTTACAGCCAGTGAACACTAAGAGAACATAGAAAGTATCTGATTTATTAGCTGAACTACTTCTACCCCATAGTGTCTGTCGAACCTTTTCAGTCTTAAGTATTAGTTGCTTCTAAGCTCAACATCTTGGATGGAGGAGTTTAAGCAGCATCTACTTAAAAGTGAAAGAGTTATAAATAATAAACCTTGACTGTTCACTTTGTTGAATAATATGCATATGTTGCACTATGTCTGTAGCTGCTTGGTAAGTTTTAATGTTGCATTAGTGCATTTTCAAAATGTCTTCTTTTTTCAAATTCTGAGAAGCAAGGAATCAACAGTCTGCTTACAAATATGCCAGATCTGTAAAACAGATTTGAATGCATAACCCCAGTTCTGGAACAGGACCAGAAGTTGATGAACAACCACAACTTTCTGCTGTAGTTTACAGCCAGTGAATGTAGAGCCGAAGGAGAAAAGAGGGTTGAACCAGCAGGCAAGTGTCTTGCCATTATTCCTCTGCACTCGCATGATGAAACATTTTTCAGATCAATGTTGACCTGTCTAGATTACATTTTCTGTTTATTTTGCTGCAAATCTAATCGCATCTAAAGGAGTAAATATATTGACAAAACTGTTAACTGTGACCCTAAGGGATGCAATCTACCGCAGTTAAAAATACTTAAATACAGACCCTAATAGACATAATCCATTTTGTAAATTTTCATAATAATAATCTTTAATATTTCATATTGTTTGAGATTAGGGCTAACCCTAACCCAAAGCAATATTATATATTACAGAACATTATCATGCAAACGTTAACAAACAATGGGTTGGGTCCATTATGGTCGCTGTAAACAAACAATAGATTGTGCCCCTTAAGTCGCCAATATATCTCCAGTGCCAAAAAGACAGACTTGACTGAGTTACCACTGAATTTCATTTTTCAGTCTGACAATATCAGACTTATAGCAGGTCTCATAAACAAATTTGGCTATCCTCCAAATAACGGTCCCAAATTATCAAAGCCGAAAATATACCCTAACAGGGCCTCAGTCACAATTAAATTGTGGATTTCGGCGACTACCGCCGAGATTATCTCCCGCGGCGCTACGCGCGGCTAAACTAGATGGCTGAGGAGGGGAGTTCTAGCAGAGAATCTCGAAAAAATGTGATTTTTGAATTTAGAAACAAACTTGGTATCAAATTAAAGATTAACCAATATCCTTCATGTTTCTGTATAAATTGTTTTAATCGGTTTAGTAGTATCGGAGTTATGATGGTTCAAAGATTGTCAGGTGTTTCTGGTCTTGGTAAAAAAAAAAAAATGCAGAATTTGTGTTTTCACAAATACACATATCTTTAGCAACAATGCGAGCCTCCCTAACAGTTTTCCTACAATGAACGACCCTTCGTAGGAACAATCAAAATGGCTGCCTTTGTGGAAGCGTGTTAATATTTTGTTTGTTCTGAAATTGTTTGTATAAGTGATATTCTAAACAATGTCAAGTGATAAAAAGTATTGTAAACATTCAAGGAAGCGAAAGTTTCACGGGAATAGGTTTATGAGTGCTACAAAGAGATGCGGAGAATTAGATTTAAATCATTCTATTGAGGACGACAAACATGTAAACACTGACATTCCTACAAGTAATTTTTTGACATGTAGTAGTAAAACTAAAAATAATAGGAGAACCAAAACTAAAGTTGACATTCCCAGTGCCACGCCCACTCACAGTCGGTCAGCGATAAAAATCAACGACCTGTATGACATTGACGATGATCCAGACACAGATTTAGAAGAATGTGATGAGGTAAATAGTTATCCTAAATGTGACAGTGAAGGGTACAAGATTGTTGACCTGGATATTCTATGTCATCAGATTTCATCACAGCTGGTTTGTGCATTTTGTTACAACCATGTCAGACTTACTGAGAACGAAAGACAAGGACTCTGTAGTCAATTTGAATTTGTGTGCAGCAACCAGAATTGTAAAAGGCAGACCATTTTTAATTTTCCAACCCTCAAATTAGTGTCAACAACAGCAACAGCCTACAAGTACACTCAGTCAATAGGCGAGCTGTCTTTGCTATGCACTGTGCAGGAGGTGATCGCTCGGACTTACATTTTGTGGAATAATGAATCTTCCGCCGCCTGTCCAGAAGAGTACATATAAACTAATAAATGAAAGGATAGAAAGTGCTGTTAGCTCCTCTCAAGCAGCTAGCATGAAGAAAGCTGCAGAAATAGAATTTAGATTAGCAGAGAAGACAGAGTCAGTTGATGATAGCCGGGATATTGATGTGTCTGTAGATGGAACCTGGATGACCCGAGGACATTCCTCAAAAATAGGAGTAACCACGCTCATTGGCTGTGTCACAGGAAAGGTTATTGACACAGGTGCACTCTCAAAAGTGTGCTAATCTTGTGACTACTGGAACACTCAAGACAAGGATTCAGAAGCATATGAGTTGTGGGGACAAAATCACCAATCACAGTGTACATCTACACATAATGGTTCATCCGGAGGTATGGAAGCAACAATCGCTAAAGAATTATTTTCCATGTCAGTTTAAAGATATAAGCTGAGATACACACGCTTCATTGGAGATGGTGACACAAACAGCTTCAAAACAGTTTCTGATTCAAAGCCATACGGTGACACACCTGTTGTGAAGATAGAATGTGCCGGGCACGTGCAAAAAAGAATGGGAACCAGACTACACAAGATCAAGAATTTTGGGGGGAAGGGAAAGAAACTGTCAGATGGGAAGAATATTGGTGGAAAAGGAAGGCTTACAGACACACAGATTGACTCTATTCAGAAATATTATGGGAATGCAATCAGAGGTAATAAGAATGACTTGAAAGGAATGCAGGAGGCTGTTTGGGCAATATATTTTCACACTCTCCACGGATCAAAAGCCTGTTCACAATCTCTGTAAAATTAGTTGGTGTCCACATCAAATAGCTGTTGCTACCAACACAGAAAAGGATTATAAACATAAAAATGCCCTGCCTGCAGCAGTTATGGAGGTCATCAAGCCAGTTTTCAGAGATCTCTCGAACCCTGACCTGTTTTGAAAATGTCTACACCCAGAACGTTAACGAATCAATCAACAGCACAATTTGGCGACATTGCCCTAAACACAAGTACCACGGATTAGGAGCTGTCAAAATTGCAGTTGGCATTGCAGTACTCATTTTCAATGATGGAGCAAAAGCACCAGAAGCACCCCTAGTGGCAAAGCAACTATTGTGTGGACGTTTCACGTCTGCAAATTTGAGAGTCCTATCTTTCAAATTGAATTTTTAATGATTTCTTTGCTAACGCCACTGATTTCCTGCTAGAACTGCCCCCTAATGAGCAAATAAAATGAAGGAAGCTGCAGGAGATGCGGTAGCTGCTGCTCGTGAGTCCCAGCCATCTAGTTTAGCCCCGCTCCATGCCACGAATAGCAGCGTGTGAGATACTCTCGGCAGTGGTGGAAGTCCGCAATTTACATGTGACTGAGGCCCTGTTAGGGTATATTTGGGACCGTTTTTGGAAAGATAGCCCAATTTTTATTTATTTTGAAGCCCCACCCTGGCTTTTGCTGGGGGTCATAAATATAGCCAGGCCTTAAATATGGCAATGGATAAAGGGGGTTTCTGGGACCTCTCCACAGGTGATCTTCATCCATATGGCGTCACTTTGTGTCACCGGGTGTTTATCGCTTGTGTGATGTCCTGGTGGGGTATATCTACCTACCTATAAATGAGTGTTTAGATCTACTATCAATGTTGTCCCCATGTTGGACGCAATTTTTTGTTATTTTGAATCCCCGGCTTGAGCGTTTGCCAGGGGCCGCAATATTATATAGCCTGACGGTTGAATGCGGTTTCTGGGACCTCTCCACCGGTGACCCTCATCCGCATGGTGGCACTTTGTGTCTCCGGGTGTTTATAGCTTTGTGTGAAGTCCTGGTGGGGTGCAACTTACATACATACTCAGATTAAGTAATCTAATAGTAATTACTATTAGAAAGGTGAAGTAACAGGTGTTTGGGATGGAAAGAATTTATCTAAAAATAGATCGTCAAAGTGAAGTTATAAATTTAAAAACTACCTCTTTTTGTTTGTTCACCAATTTACTATATAAATTTAAAACAGTAAGTAAGTAGATTTGTATTTGCTGACGTTAAAAATTATAAATAAATTAAGATTAATTATAATTAATTAACTTTTTAACAAAGTCAGCTGAAGAAAAATAAAAATAACAGTGCAGTCTTTCTATCTACTTTCTTATCTATTCTAGCCAAAGCTAAAACTAACCTGTTTTTGTACATTCTGAACTTTCTTGTCGTGTTGTTTTGGAGCCGAGCTCAAGGCGAAGACGATCTTCATCCTCAAGTACATAAACGCATCATAGAGAACCGAGACGGGCAGCAGAAATAAACAGACGAATATCCAGCGGTAGTGGACAAGAATGTATTCCAAACCTCGATAACGCATCCACAGTAGAGATATACACGCCGGAATCATCAGAGGGTAGATATAATTTGAATGGAGTTCTACTATTAGATCCATTTTAAAGGACGCAAACGGAGTTTGACTGAGATCTAGAATGAAGTAAAGAGACAGTGGTGCCCGTTAAATATCTCGCCCCGCCAGCGACCGGCACGCAAAGACAGGTTTCTGTGAACTCAAGTCGACCTACACAAACCGTCAGCTCTTGAAGGGTGTTCTTCGCACGGCTACGTGATGCGTGAGATCCGGCTGGTCGAGGCAGGCTCTGTACGCAGACTGACACTGGATTGGGTTAGAGCCGACTTCAGTTGGCAGTGACTGAGTTATTGCGAAACATTGAGTGGAGTTACCTTCATCTTTGTCACAGGGCGGCAGGTGTTTTTGGCAATAAAAGAACTGACATTTTGGCCGGTTCTGCAATAGTTGTAGATTACCGGCCTGTGGAGGGCGCTGATATTGTTAGTGACCTTAGAGCAGTGGTCTCCAACCTGACCCCCCCCCCTCCCAACCAGGGGGAAGGGGCTTGGGAAGTTTTACGGGAAAGGGAGGAGTCAACATAAATTTTTAAAAGTGAGTCGATTTTTACTTGTAATAATCCCTTATAATAACATTTTACAGAATTAAATTATAAATAAAATACTGTTTACAACTGGTTTTGTGGTTTTGTTTTCAGAGAAATTTGTACATCTAATGTTGAAAATCTAATTTAATATGATAACACCTGTATTTAATTATACATTAATAGCACATTCTTCCTTTTTTTTTGGGGGGGGGGTCCCTTTTGTTATGTTGTGGGTGAGGGGTGGGGTGTCTTAGTAGGATCGCGGGGTTCATATACTCGATGGTGTGGGGTCTTGCCATATACTTAGGAGCATCGAGGTCTTGCCATATACTCAAGGGGACGTGGCGATCTGGCCATTGACTCAAGGGCGCGCGTGGAGGTTTGCCATATACTCGGGGAAAGGGGGGGGGGCTGAAGGTCTTATCATATGCTGAAGAACGCCTGAAAGTCTCGCCATATACTCAAGAGGGAGGGTGCGTAGCGGTCTTGCCATATACCCAAGTGGGCGTGAGAATCTTGCCAAATACTCAAGAGAGCGTAGGAGTCTTGCTATACACACAAAAGCGGTCTTGCCATATACTCAAGGGGGCGTGAGAGTCTTGATATATACTCATAGGTGCGTGGGAGTCCTGATATATAAGTGTGCATGAGAGTCTTGCCATATACTCAAGGGTGCATGAGAGTCTTGCCATATACTCAAGGGTGCCTGGGAGTCTTGTCATATACTCAAGGGGTGCGTGGGAGTCTTGCTATATACTCAAGGGTGCGTGGGAGTCTTGTCATATACTCAAGGGGAGCGTGGGAGTCTTGCCATATACTCAAGGGTGCCTGGGAGTCTTGCTATATACTCAAGGGTGCGTGGGAGTCTTGCCATATACTCAAGGGTGCCTGGGAGTCTTGCTATATACTCAAAGGAGAGCGTGGGAGTCTTGTCATATACTCAAGCGGTGCGTGGGAGTCTTGCTATATACTCAAGGGTGCGTGGGAGTCTTGTCATATACTCAAGGGGAGCGTGGGAGTCTTGCCATATACTCAAGGGTGCCTGGGAGTCTTGCTATATACTCAAGGGTGCGTGGGAGTCTTGCCATATACTCAAGGGTGCCTGGGAGTCTTGCTATATACTCAAAGGAGAGCGTGGGAGTCTTGCCATATACTCAAGGGTGCCTGGGAGTCTTGCTATATACTCAAAGGGGGCGTGGGAGTCTTGTCATATACTCAAGGGGAGCGTGGGAGTCTTGCCATATAGTCAAGGGTGCGTGGGAGTCTTGCTATATACTCAAAGGGGAGCGTGGGAGTCTTGCCATATACTCAAGAGGGCGTGAGAGTCTTGCCATACACTCAAGGGTGCGTGGGAGTCTTGCCAAATACTCAAAGCGGGCGCCGACTGAATAGGTTGGATACCACTGCCTTAGAGAGATATGGCGATAATAAAAATGTGGGAGCAGCGTGTCTCACATCACTGCTAAGAATGCAAAAACTGGAAGTAAAGATATGTTTTCTATAATTTCTGTCATACTTTTAAAGTTTTCATTTGAAGCCCCTTGTAAATTTTCATGTGTTCCCCGTGTGGGTTCCACGACCTTATAATAGGAAAAACAAGAATAGACCCACTGCCTACCCAAAAGCATGACCTTAGAGTCGACTAAATGATAGCTTTCTTCGAAGTCGGAGTGCATCTGCCTGAGAGGCAAGGAACCAGCAGTCTGCATACAAATGAGTCAGATCTATAAAACAGATTCACACGCAACACTCAAGTTCTGGAACAGGACTGCAGTCTAGAAATGTACGAACAATCAGAACTTTCCGCCTGAGTTTACAGCTGGTGAACGCGAACAACAAGAAGAAGCAGATTTCCATGTGTATTGCTGAATACATCTATGCTCGACAACTTTCTCAGATATGTTAACTACTTTTTTTTTAATATATATTATCATTTTACTTGCATTGCAGTCTACCACTTGCTTGTCAACTTGTTACCTATAACAAAAGTTCACAAACGAAAAAAAATGTAACTGGAAAGAAGCACACACAGAAAGTGCTATTCACAGTGGATTATTGCTGAGATGGAATATAATCGTGGGCTACTCACCGTATCCAAGAGTCATGCGAGCGATTCTAGGAAACAAGACATCCCGGTAGTCTGTATGCGATACATCCTTTCAGTGCCGACTATTGCAGAGAGACTCAAAGTGCTGTCAACTGGGTCATACGCAGGGCAGCAACTGACGAAAACTACCTTCTCCGTGAAGTCATGGCTACTGCTGAGGTCGTTGGATGATTAGAGAGAGGTCTTGCAAGGTTGCTCATGTGTGAATAGAAGCAGCTTTGTCTGTTGGTGAAAGAGAGGAAAGCGTTGTGGGTGTTTCGTTCGTGTTAGTGGTGACATGCTACTTTTCTGCCCATGTCACTGCGTTATTAAATATGCCAGTGTGCAGTATTCGTTGACACACGAGAGTGCCAGTTCATCTGCATACAGCACAGCATTCACGCCTACATGGAAGTCTTTCCACAGGCCATTGATATGAAACAAGAAAGAGAACCAGAGAGATTACTCCTCCTTGGGGTATACTTTTATTTAGCAACATTTTTACTGCTCAAGAGTGACTCTAGTTCTCCTGCGCAAGAAAGTTTGGATCCATCTTAGCATGCTTCCTTGGACTCCAGTTCCCTTCATTCCAGCAATGAGGCCATCTCTCCACACGTTGTCAAAAGCTTGTTTAATGTTGACTCATATCGTCAGCCTTTTTCTTGTCTTAGAGGGCAACCCATGGACTGCGACAGACAGGCGATTTGATCCTCTATGAGTCTATGTTGTAGCATTCTCTTAATCTAGCTTGCTCTGGCACCAAGATCTGCCCAGATTCCAAGTGCAATTTCAGTCTGTGATTGACAATTCGCTCAAAGGTCTTCAATAGACTGTTCGTAGGGCTCATTGTTCAAGATGCGGAGCCTTGGGTCCCCGTTTTCCCCTGTGCAACTCACGTTTTTCGCCTTTACCTCGTTTGTTGTCCCATCCAGTTTCCTGCTGGGGGTTGAGACCCCAACCTTCAACTGGATTGCTGGAAAGAACAGGGTTCACCACGTGAAGGTGAGGCAGGCTTGAGCAAGAGAGGCTAATAGACATTAAAAGTCTGTATTGCACATCATTGCTCCATTAGGACCCCAATAGGAATATGGGTCAACTGCATGGGATTCAGCATCTAGTACCACATAAAATGAGTTGGAAAATGTGCAAAATCAAGCTTTCAGAGTCATCAGAGGAGGGATGAAACAACTCCCATATTAGAAATGGAGAAAGCTGGGAAAACACAGACACTGAGAGAACGCAGAGATACAAAGTTGCAAATACAAGCTGAAAAGTTCCTCAGTATGCCAGATCGCCCGATGAAAAATAGATTTAAGAACCTAGCCTTTGGACAGTTAAAAAGAAGCAGCTTTATACACCAAGCAAAAAGAATGTGTAGGCAAACTACTGACCTTCCAGAAATTGGTTGCCCATCGCGATTGTAACTGATTCAGAAAGCATGCTGAGGAATATCAGAACAGGTATGCTTCGTGCAGAGTAGCATGCTTCGCTGCCTAGGACACGAGTGAGGAGTATTGTCTGGATTTTTTCTCCGGGTCACACATGTGTGTTAGAAAATGAACAGACGGACAGACTGGCTGGCTCTGCACAACTTGGTGGAATACTGATACATGATACGGCAGACGTGGTTAGTGTCTTGCGGGAGAGCGTGTACAATTCGGAGGAGCAGAATGATCATCACAGTCTGGTGAGATTGATGCAGTTGGAGGTGACGAGAGGTTCTGGCAGATGTTTAAGGCTCAGAGGAAAGGCAAGATGGACGTTTAATCAGAATGCTACTGGCACCATTAGTATCGGAACTCTTCGCTGGCTGCTGAAGATGGGGACGGAGCGCTTATGGGAATGCCCCGAGTGCTGTGATGTCGCTTCTTGAATCAAATCAAATCAAATCAAATCAAGTATTCCGGAACAAACTCAATGGAGAGAAAAATGCAAACTAACAGTACAAATCCAGACAAATGTGAAAGGGATATTTGAAAAGAAAGGGCAAGATAGTGTACAAGGCAGAATGGCCACCCTCAGTTATATTGATGAAGAATACCCACAAGAACAATGAGTCAGAGTCTATACACATGGGTCCGCACAAAGTGCAGTTAGAAATGGTGGTGCTGGAGTGTACACATAATTCCTAGATGGTACTAGGGTTAAGTCCAGCGTACCAACCGGAAAGTACTGTCATAACTATGATGCAGAAACTCAGTCTATCAAGATAGCAACAGAGAAACTGCTAAATACCAATCTTGGCTCACAATATGTGGTAATGCTGACAGATGCTAAATCCGTACTTGAAGCACCTCAGTCTAGGAAACTACCAGAATTGCAAACACTGCTAACACAACTTAGCCTACGACTCAGAGTCGTAATGCAGTGGATACCTTCTCATTGTGGAGTGCCTGGAAATGAGAAAGCTGA